CACACACACACACACACACACACACACACACACACACACACACACACACAAACACACACACAGAGACACACGCACACCACTAGCTAAAGATCTGACGAAATGAATTGGAGTATACCTTCTCCTTTACTCTGCCTTCTTTCATAACGTGAAAGTGGGACGTTAAGGCACACGGGATGTGCGGAGCTGCCACTCAACCACAATCGTCGTGGCCAGCCTGGTATGTGAGAGTCACAGTGAAAAGGGCGCTGCAAGAGCAAATAGCAGGGGTACCAGTGCAGCCCAAGCGGGCTAGCTCAGTTGGTTGGGCACGTAAGTGGCACTCAGGAGGTCGTGAATTCGATACCCAACGCCGTCCTTTCGATCCCCGCGGCCTCCTGAGGGTATGCTTCGGGTTCACCAGCGGAGACTGTTGGCTTGGGCCTCCTGGCTGGTTGTGGAAGTAAATGGTTCTTTCCAGCCCACGCCAGGTGTAAGGAGCTTGTGTACTGCTCCTCGCACAGAGAAGAGATAGGTTGGCGTAGACCCATAACCTTAGGATAGCTTAGCTCTGGCTAGTGAATTTAAGCTTCGTCCTTCCTTCCATAGGCAGGTTTGTTCCTTCGGATCTCCTGCCTCGCTCCTGGCCCTAGACCTTGGACCTTCAAGTTGGGATCGGGTTCCAAGTGGTTGCCTGTCTTAGGATAAATTAACTTCCGGGCCCATCTGGGGGGTGGATGTATTTCTCATTTCTTAGATTGACCAATCAAGGAGTTACGTTTCTTTGGTTTCCTGCATTTAATGTCATTTATGATTTATCGAGTTTTAACTTTTCATACTGTTTTGTTGCTGTTTTTAACTTTTAACTTTTAAATTATAAAATTTTATCTGTTTGTTTTATTGTATTGACTGTCTGCTTGGAAGAGACATTGACTTGGCACTACTTGATCCCAACAATCTTCTAATCAGATGCACTCTTCGTCTTTCTTTCCTCCGGAATTCCCCCCTTCTTTTGTGTGTGTTGTTTGTTGCCTATGTGTGGTGAGCACTGGGGGGTTTTGTGACTCCATCCGCGGAGCGGGCTTGCCGTTCTCTTGATCTTCCGAAGAGGTTGCATCTGGAAGAGTTGTCGCAACGGCAACAATGTTTATCGAGCTGAAAGTGGTCAGGAATTGTGGCAAGGTGAGGTTCAAAATCTGCATCTGATCCAGACTGTCTTTGTGGGACTGCTGCACTGCAACCTGCCTGTCTTTGTCTCCTGCACACCCTCAACATCTCTTCCTCGTCCTCGTCCTCGTCCTCGTCCTCGTCCTCGTCCTCGTCGTCCTCCTTCCTCCTCCTCCTCCTCCCCCCTCCTTCCTATTTCCTCCTCCTCCTCCTCCCTCCTCCCTCCTCCCTCCTCCCTCCTCTCTCCTTCCTCTTTCCTCCTTCCTCCTCCTCCTCCTCCTCC